CGACGGCTCCTCTCTGAGGTACTGCGATGGCTCCTCTCTGAGGTACTTCGAGGTCTCTCTAAGGAACTGTGATGTTTTCTCCCTGAGGGTCTGCGATGGCTCCTCTCTGAAGGTCTATGCTGCTTTCTCTCTGAAGGACTGCAAATGCTCCTCTCTGAGGGACTGGGACGGCTCCTCTCTGAGGGACTGGGACATACCACCTCTGAGGGACTGACATGGTTCTTCTCTGAGGGACTGTGAGGTGGCCTCTCTGAGGAGCTTTGATGACTCCCGTCTAAGAGACTGTGACGTCTCCTCTCTGGGGCATCGTGATGGCTCCTCTTCGAGGGACTGCGATGTGTCCCCTCTGAGAGTCCCTGATGGCTCCTCTCAGAGACACTGGAAAGGGTTCTGTCCAAAGGGCTGCGCTGGCTCTTCTCAGGGGCGTTCCGCAGGGTTCTGTCCCCCTGGTGGCAGCTGGCCTCCTTGTGAGGGCCTTTCCCGTTATGGTAACTGTGCGCGTTTCTCTTCACCTGAAGTCCGCTTTCGGATTTGAGCAAATTCTTCGACTTCTGACTGGAAATTTCATCTTTATGGAGGGTTTTCTTGGCACTGCTGCTGCTGTCATTTTGAACTACACCCAAAGTCTGCCTGACAGTAACAGTTTGTAAAGTGACCTCTCTTTGGGACACTGTGGGCTTGGGCAGTTGGAGAGGTCTGGATTGGCAAGGGCTCTCTGTTTGTGGCTGTTGAGCTGATTTGCTTTGGTTTGTGTCCTCCAACAATATGTCCTCCTTCTTAGTGCTTGGACTAGGTGGCCTTTGCTTGACAACTGGTGTCCTCTCTCCTTTTTTATCTTTTGGTAAACAGTAGTCCCTGGCTTTTTGTTTTGAATCATAGCTTTTGCTTGACCACAAATCATCTGGCCTGCTCCTGTCCTCAGGCTTCTGTCCAAAAGAAGCTATCATTCTGCATGCTGTTTGGAATGCCTGATTGAGGCCCTGAAAGAGCAGTCGCAGGAACTTGGGCTGGGGGGATTTCTTAATTGGTCTTTTTAAGGAAGCAGAACTTGTATGAGCTACTACAGTCCTCTTTCTTTTTAAAGGGGCTGGGGATTCCTTAGAGGGACTCTGTATTGTGGTTCCACTGTTTGTGTTTGGTGTTCCTTTGTTGATTCTCTTCACTGGAAATTTTGAATCCCAGGTTTTTTTGGTTCTCACTCGAGCCCATGTTTCATCCTGATAGCAGCTTACAGAGTCACTCTCTGATAGGGAGTGCACATGAGACAATTCATAATGCCCAAACTCTCCAATTTCTGTCTTTCCTACTAGACCAGGGCTACCCCATTGCCTTTGTTTGCTATAGACTTGTACAGGAGCAGGGGACTGGAAAGCTCTAGACTGGAAATCTCTCGTGGGAGTAGGATTCTTAGAAACTGGAGTGTAAATTTTAGCTTTCCTTTTTGATGGTGCTATAGGACTATTTGGTGTCATGGGTCTGCTTCTTCCATGATACTTTGAAACTTGGGATCTTTTTCCAGTCCGCAACCTAAAGCCAAGATGCAACCGAATCTCACCATGGCCTTCAGGAGTACTTACAAGGTGGATCTGTGGATAGATAAGAAGATAAGGCCCAAAAGTGGTATGTATTTTATGACAGCAATTAAATCCTAAACATCGGCCACACTGTAGACAGATAGGGTATTTTAGGACAAGACCTGAAGCTAGAGGTGGAGGCACATTGGGGGGTATTTGACTCCTTAAGAGTTTTGCTGCTATTTTTAGCTGCAGTTCTTGTAGCAATTGAAACTGTTCTGAAAAGTCAGTCTTGACTGGAGAAAGATAACTTGGCTTGAAGGAGTGTTGGGACTTAAAAATTCTTCTCTGTGAATCACTCTGTGTGTTTTCACTCTCTTCCTGGGAAATAGGATCCTCCCTATTATAATATATCTTGATAGAAGACTCTGACTTTGCTAGGGCAGGAAGCTGGCCCTCGGCACATAAGATAGGCATATGCTGAGTGACTTCCTGGGATATATTACTGAGCTTTGAATCTGTTTTCTTTGTGCCCAATCTGGTCCCAGAGTATTGCCGTATTATGGAAGCCATGGAGCCACGTGTCCACATCCTTAGAGTCCCTCTTTGATCAGGACCGTGGCATAAAGTATGTCTCTGAATGTAACTTTTGACCACTGAAGGCTGTGAAATAGTACATGGACCATTCTCTAGCAAGCTCTGGGAAAATTCCATCAGTTCAGCTGGAACCCCAAATAAATTCTGAATAGACTTACAGATATCTGTAGTGGCTCTTTCTGCTAAACATATTCGAGAACAAAGCTTCTTTTCCATAGTCGTCCCCAAGACATTCCCTAGCATTAGCATAGCAGAGAGATATTTTCTAGGTAGTCGCTGCCTATTAACATGATTCTCCCAGACATTCTGTTGTCTGCCCAAGAAAGGCCGAGCAGAACCTCTTTGAGACCCTGATCTTCCCTGGAAAGTCCCAGATGGTGATCTCCGGCTTCGTGATGGATGTTGGCAATGGTTCTGGAGTGAGTCCTCTGACTTCTCCATCTGCTTCTTCTTAGTTTTATTCTTAGATGTAATATCCACTCCCACAGTCTCAGGATGTGGGGTTTCCACAATGTCCACTGTATTATCAGAGGGTTCATTTTGAAGGTCCCAGAGAAGAGATGATGACTGCATCATAACAGAGTCAGAATAGGACTCTTCAGGCTGCAAAATATATGTCCCAAGGTTCTTCATATCCAAAGCTCTTGATACTTCTGAGATCCCAGAACCCCAAAGGCTTCCTAATTCAGATGTTTTGACAGAACTTGAAATGAGTGGGGTTGAAGAGCTGTTTAGGGACTCTAAGAAAAAATCACTTACTTGTGACTCTTCTTCTGACATTGATTCCTTAGAGTCCCAATTTTGACACATCTGTCCTTGATTCAAATCCTCAGATTTCATAACTTTAGGAGACTCTGTTTTTATCTCTGTGGATTTTGCAGGCGTCAACTTTTGCTCATGATTCAATATTGTTGGTTCCTCAAATGGAGATGTTTGTTTTGAGGCTAATTCTGCAGACATCACTCGAATACTTGGCCTGGGAGTTAATTTTACAGGTTGTGCCAGTTCTTGAAGATATGGCATTGGGACTAAATCCAAATAATCCATTACATAAATCTCTGATCCCCTGGCTACTCCTATTGTGCCTACAACCTGAGGAACTGGTCCTGGTGCTAATTCCTCAGATTTTACAATTTGATACAATGGCCCTGGGGTTAACACAGTCTTTTCCAAAATTTGATGTGTTGGCTCTGTGATTAATTCCTTATATTTCATATTCTGTAACCATGGGCTTGAGGTCAACTCTGAAGATCTTACATCTTGATGTTTTGGAGTCAACTCAATATTTTCTGCCATTTGAGGTTTTGGCCCTGGTGTTGCCACAGACTCCGCAAGTTGAAGTGGTGGCCTAGGGGTCACTTTCACAGATTCAACAACTTTGCGGGGAGCTGCTGGCATCACCCCTACTGACTGAGCAACTTGAATCTGTGATGTGACTTGATCCAGTGGTTT